AGGCCGCCTGCCTCGCCCTCAGGGCACAGCACCAATCCAGCCTCGGCAATAAGGTAAAAACGGAGTTCCTTTCTTGCTGTGTGTTTTTTGTTTTGGAAAGCAATGGTCTTTCTGGGAATTACATCGTTAGTACCGAACATACATAGACGTAGGTTTCATTTTGAACATGGGCGTTAACACAAGGGCTGGAAGCAACTAGTATGGGGATTTCTCGTGGCGTTGTGTGTGTACGCGGCTCACGACGGGGACGAGCGCTGGGGTGAAGGAGGCCACACGTCACTGCGGACACAGCCTCAGGTTTGAAACGCAGGCCCTGCGTTGCACCTGTCGTTGGTTCAATGGCTGTTGCGGGGACTCCCTAAGTAGACGGCCAAGTAAAGTCGGTTCCCTGGTTACCTTGGTTCCTGGTGTCTCAGGGCAATAGCCCGAGAACCACTGATGGGCTGGTCAAACCACTATTTGTGATTCCTACCCACAAGGTATTGGGGGAGGATGCATTTATATCATTTCTTTACTATGAGACTCAGATGTGTGCCTTTGCTGCCCTTATTCATTCATCCTCCATCTCAACAAACATTTCAGCATTTCCTGTATATTGGCACCACGAGAGATACGAAGATAATTAAGACAGTCTCTCAGCTTGAAGACCTCACAACCTGGCAGTTAAAAACTTTTATGTTTCAGAAACATAAAACTGTACACTGAGAAAGGTCAAGTGCAGAGACATCCTTAGGTTGTCGTGGGGGCCTAGAGGTCCTGCGTCCAGTGCCCCCTGCAGGCGGTGCTGGGGAAACAGGGAGCACGGGGGCGGGGGGCAACCAGGGAGGGCGTCCCAGAGGAGGCGGCAGATGGGCTGTGGCTTTAAGTGAAGTATAACTTCACCACTCCAAGACGATGAGGGGCACTTTTGTCAATAAAGTCTGCATTATTTATTATCCACAAATTATTTATGTATCAGTGAGGAATTTGTTCTCACTGTAGCCCCGCAAAAAGACCTGATCGTGAACTAAACTAGAGCAAAGACAGATGCCAAGGAAGACAGGTGACACCAAGAGAAGTGAAACTGGAAGGGCTCGGTGCTGAAATGGGGAGGCATGGAAGGAGGTCAGGATCACCAAGAATCACTCTGAATAAAGTGTACCTTTAAAACAGAAAGTAAACAGGGAAGTACAATTGCAAATGGAATGAGATTCGGTCCCTGGTGGACACAGTGAGTTGGGGGTATTTTTCAGTGTCCGTGTCCGTCAGTGGCGTGCAGGTGATGGGGTGAAGCCATTTGCACAGGTAGAACCACCGCAGTGTGGTCCGGGGAGACGAGCTGAGGAAGGGGAGACGATGGATGGCTTTAAAAGCAGCATGGAGTTTCAGGCGGGTCGGCGCAGTACCAGTAACAGGATTTAACCCCAAAGCCACCCCAGACACTGAAGTTAGAGCGGGTGCAGAGGGCAGACTGCCCTCCACCAAATGATGGAGAGGCTAGACCTTCTCCTGCGTGTTGCCCATCCATACCCAGCTCATCCAAGAGAACAAGCAGGACACGGAAGGAGAAGCCTGGGCTGCAGCCCCGGTGGGTTCGGCTCCACCGCGGAGGCAGCAGAGATTCACCGGGTGGAAGCAGTTATAACTCCCTTGGGGAATCTCTCAGGACCATCTCCACGAACCCAAGTCTGCCACTGGATGTCCGATTCTGCACAGTGAAGACTCCCTGCCGGCAACCTCAGGGGGTGTTACCATGTGCTCTGAGTCCTGAGAAGTGATAGTGAAAATGCACACTAGTGGAGCGTGACATGTCCCAACACAGCATCCGGCTATTTGAGAGACAGCCATCAGTGTCTGCAGCGCCCGGGACAAGGACCTTGACACCCCAGCGCTGATATGCCCGCGTTCATAACTCACTCCAGACAGCACTCCAAGCCAATTAGAGGCAGCGTTTCAGGGGCTTGGATCAGCTCACTTGCTAATGTGGGCATCTGTCCCGGTGAGCAGTAAAATGGCCCAACGCTATTGCATAAATAAAATTTAACAGAGTGGGTATACTTATCACCTAGTTTTTTTAAGTATTCATTGGCAATAATTAATACATATTAGACACAGTAAATACATCCAAATCTGCAGTATTATGTGCACAATGTTAAATTTAAACTTTCATGTGGAGTGTTGTTGATCTGTGTTTGAGAATGAAGGATTTTACTGAGCTGTTTCTCCATTCAAAACTTCATTACTTGCTACTAAGAGTCACAGTTCTGTGCATGAATGTACAAGATGGGCTGTGGAGATACAAAGATGAAAACAACATGTTCCCTACTGCCTCGTTTATGAGCTGCTGGAAAAACACTGCAGAAAACATTATTACATATAGATAAAAGCCAAAATCTCCCAATTGTGGGAGATTAAAGGACAGGCATCTAGAAGGAAACCACAAGGACAATGAAAATGTTTGAAATGCTTAACACTAACTACTAAGAGGACTGGGGGGCAGGAGGCATCTACTGTGCCTTTGCAAGTCACAGGGTAATGGACACTTGTTCGCCCTGCACCCCCAGCCTCCCAAGCCCTGGGTTTGTAGCTCCCAGAACGAGCCCTGATTGGCTTAAGGATAACCTGCTCTTGCAAAGATTAGTTCAGGAACAGAACTGATGGGGAGAGATGGCCGTTAGGACCTCTTGGGGCAAAAAATAAAATAAAATGAACCTTGTGCAGGCGTTTCCTGACAAGCCTCTCTCTTTAGCTGCAGAGCCCTGGGAGCTGCTTGCAGCCTTGTTGCACTGACGAGCAAAGAGCCTGCCTGGACAGGGAGTTAGCACGGGGGGGGGGGGGGGGGGGCAGAGCTGAAAATCAGAGGCTGAGCCCTGGTCCTTTCAGGAGCCCACAGCCAAGCCACAAACTTCGGTTGTGAGCACATTCTTCTCATTGTAACCAGATTAAGCTGTGGTCTCTATCTTGCAACCAGGAGCCTATCTTACAGCCTGCCTGATGTGACTATTTAGAAATCAATGTCCAAGAGGCCCAGGGAAATGCCTCTCTGTGAACTTCTCCCCCTCCCCCTTCCAAAATAACAAGCACGTGCAGCATCAACACAAACATCTCAAAGGACGGGGAGGATTATATAATATACCCAAGGTCATGGTACATGTAGCATGGTGGCCCAAAGCCATTTCCCAGAGCTCATCAGTGTATTGTAAATAAAGTGAGGACTTCGTGTGCCATCGTTCTAAGGGGGAAGGCTGCACCCCGACATACGGTTCTGTCTCCTAGGAACAGAGAATCCCGGACGACATGACCACAGGCTGCGTGGAGCGAGCAAGGGTCCAGCCTGCGGCAACTTTTTGAAACAAGAGACACAGTAAATGAAAGTTACTTATGAAATGATCCCTTTGCCAAAGTGCACGATAAAATTAAAGGGGATAATCTAGTCCCTATCTAAATGATACTATAATTATCCAATGTGTGGCAATTATCTGTACCAACATCCTTTATCAACTCTTAATTATACAGATTTCCAGGCAGGATGTTTTAAATGTGGGAATCTATAAGAAGGCACACACCGGTGCCCTGTGAGCACGAAGCAGTTTTCTCAGCCCGAGAGCCCAAAGGCCTCAGCAAGACAGGATGATTTTTAAGCCTGGGGATGGAGGAGACAGGGAAAGTTTCCAGGTTAATTCGGCAATCTGCCTTCCCAAGTGATCTGAGAAGTATCTTTACATCTTTTTTTAATTACAGTAGTTTTTAAATTTGAAAACAATTATGGATTCACAGGAAGTTGCAAAGATGGTACAGAGAGGCACCGTCACCCGGTTGTACTGTAACTGCTACATCCAGACAGCGCATCGTCCACACCAGTTCACACGGGAACAAGTGTGCGTGTTCCACATCTGATCACACGTGGTTGGGATACCATGCTACTCTGTCACCACAAAGGCCTCCCTTGCTCGACCCCTTTACGCGCACACCCACCCCTCACCCACCAATATAAGTTTCTCGTACAAATACTCCTCCTAGGTAAGATGACTTTACTCTGATGCAAACCTGGGCTAGTCTGTTTCCCCTTTGTCCCCACCCTCTGCATCAATTTCATGATCTGTTAACAGGTTCTCATCCTCCATTTTAAAAACTCAGTCTGAACTTCCAGACTTATTTTTTTAATTTGAGAGTTTGGTTTGGCAATACCACCCCCCCAAGCCCACTCCGCAGGTGATTTAGGGTGAATTCCCTTTTCTAATCACAGCCTCTTGCTTTGGCTGATCTCCAGTTGCCCCCCCCCCTTCCATCACTTCCCCTAAGGGCCTCTCCTTAATTTTCCAGGTCCTGAACTCTTAGATCACCGAGCTGGTAACCTGTCATGCCACCACCAAGTAAACAGATTTGCAAAATAGGGTTCCGATTTATTGTCATTCTGAGATTTAAAATGCACCAATAGGATTGTTTTGATCGGGACCCACTGAGAAACTCCAAATGTGACGATGGGGTCGCACAATACACGCAGATGTCCAGAGAGGTGGTGCTGGTCAAAAATCCACCCTTGTCCTTGGTCCTGGAAAACCAAACCCCTGTTCCAGAAACCCAGGCCCAGGCAGAAGCGGGGTGGGGACTGGGGAGAGCAGAGACAATAATTTCATTCTAGCACCCGGGCTTGTGCTCACTTCCTCAAGTTCGATTTCCAATTCAGGACAGAAATCACCCCTCTTTCTGCTGTTTGATTGCACCTTGGGTCCTCACTGCAGGCGGGGCCGGCCTCCCACGTGGTCTCGCGCCCCTGTCAACGTGGCGTCCCCGGCCCTTTCTGCGCCCCTCGGCATCTCTCGTCACTGACGGTTGTGGCGATCATGCTCCATGTGCATTTGCCACCTCAGAAGAAAACCGGAGGACTGAGAGTCCAGGCCCGGAGGCTGGAAATGCGCGTCCCCCACTGTCTACCAGGTCTGGGCGGATTCCTGCGGCTGCAGGCTCGGCGCGGGCGGGGCTGGCCTGCAGTGCAAGGCGGGGCCAGGGCCAGGCGAGGGCGGGGCGGCTGGGCCAGCGGCGGCCATGAGGGCCAGGCAGATCCCGGCGCTGGTGGGCACGGCGCTCGGGGGACGGCGTCCCGCAGCCCGGCCGCCACGGCCCCTCTGGGTCAAAGCAGGGCTCCACCAGCACCCCGGCGTCAACCTCTGCTTTGCTTCCGAGCGAGATCGCGGCGGCGCCGAACCCCCCTCGCAGGACAGGCCCGCGGGGGCGGAGAGGCTCCCGGGGAGCCAAGAGTTAACCGCGGCCGAGCAACGGATCGCGGACTTGCACGCCGCCGCCTGCGCGGTGAGCCCCGGCCCCCGCCCCCGTCCCACCGGGCTGCTGGTGCGCCTGCGCCTTGAGGCCCCGCCTGTACGCCCCGCTCCCTGCCCCACCCAGCGCCCTCCGTGCTCCTGCGCTTGCGCGATGAGACTGGTCCCGGCGGGCCCACGGGACCCAGGGGTCCGTGGGCCTGCGCGTCCAGGACTGATGGAGTGCTTGGGGTACCTCAAGTGATCTGGCCTCTGGCTGCTGACCACACGCACGCTTCCCACCCCTTTTCGCTTGAAAACTGTTCCCAGTTCCTGATTCCTGGCTAAGAGTTAACGTTTGTCCTGAGTGTGAGTGTGACTCGTTTCTGATCTGTGCACGAGCTAAATTCCGGCCGCGTGGGACCCATCATCGCGCGCGGTGTGCGTGTTATGTATGGTGCGTACCCGTACACGTGCATGTGTGTCTTTGCCTCTGTGTGGGTGTTTGTGTCGAGGGACGGGCGTGCAGGAGTCGGTGGGGCGGGTAGAGGAGCCTAGAAGTCACCGGAAAAAACGTGTTGTGCGCGCATCCGCCTGATCAGTTAAGCGCCCCGCCCTCCCGTGATTTTAGTAATGAAAAATCCAACGAGCCTCTGTTTCGTTTACTTATTGCTTGTCACCAGCCTATCATCCCTTCCCTCCGGTTTTTGGAGCACGATTTTAAAGGAAACCGTCGTTGGACATTCACGTACTTCCTGGACAATCTTGAGCTGTTTTTCTTGTTTGTGGGAGCTTGACAATCAGTTACTTGGTCGTTAGCATCAATATCAAAACTCAGCGTCTCCCCTCATGCGCTTCTGACTCCTCAGACTATATGAGTTTAAAGGTAGCATGTTTATATACAGATACGTTTTCTTTTATCTCGGGAGAGCAAGTAGGTTCTATAATAAGCTATTTAATGCATCTCGCGGGGCCAGTACTCGACAGGACTGGTGTTACCCCGCGGCCTGAGCCAAAGCAGCAGAAGGCAGCCGTGCCAGTCGGCAGGCCCTGAGCATCCTGCCTGACTCCTTCAGGTGTTAAACCCCCGCACAGCGAGGTCAGGGAGTGACTGCTGGCTTTGGGTTGTGCTTCCTTCCACTCTTTGTGCAAGAATGTGTAACTTCTTGTGCTTCACATGGAAATGCGGTAAATATGAACAAAAGTGTTCTTTTCAGAGGGAAGGCCAGTGGCCTGCAAAGCCAGCTCAGTCCTCCTGGGACAGGAGAAAAGCTTTGTCTCGCTCGAGGTTCCCGGGTTTCCGCACTTGTCACAGGCTGACTGTCCAGGAGGCCACAATAAACCCAGTACAAGCTGGTTGTTTTTCTCCTTCTGCAGACAGAAGCCCCTGCCTCCCGGTGGTCCTTCATACATAGCTCCAGGCAGGTCCCTCTCTTCCCTTCATCCTTGGGAGGCCCACCCCACTGAACATCTCACTTGTCAACCTGTCGGTGCTTTTGTTTCATCTCTGCTGTCCCCATGAGCTGAGGCTCACCCACTGAAGACGAATTAAGCTTGGGCAGCCAACAAGCTCCCGGGTTCTCAACCCACTGGGAAAGGCGGCAGGAGCAATATGGGAGGCTGCCAGGTGCCCAGACGATGGCCCTCAGACAACCTGGAAGTTATAAAAAGTGAAAAGGAGGCTGCTAACAGAGTCTGCTATGCTTTGTTTGTTTGTTTATCTGTTTGTCTTCTAAGTCTTCAAACACGGACATTGTCAGTAAAGTGTGGTGTCAACAGTGAGTCATTTTCCAGCAGTGTTTTCTGCCCCTGGTTTCCTGTGACCTGCTCCTGTGGTCCCAGAGGATTGGGGAGGTCCCTGGGATGGGTCTCGGGGCTTGCTCACTGGGTCCCTGCTGCCCTGGCGGTGCTTTCCTGGGATGCCATAGAGGAGACGAAGACTTGAACTTGGCCTGTCCTTCTGTTCCACGCTTCACTCATGGAGCACATTGGATGAATCCCCAACCATAATAAGATATTCAGCCGTGGGAAGACACTCAGAAGGAGGACTGGGTGGTGCACTCAGAAATGCAAGTCCCGTGCCGATTGGCACGAAAAGGCTGTTGCGACTGGTGCAGAGTCACGCGTGACAAAAGCATTCTTTGAAAAAACGGGAGGCAGTCCCTCTGCAAGGGACTTCTGTAATCCTCCAGGCTACAGAACATCACCGCATGCCCCAGATCCAAAGGCGGTTGAGTGGTCACCTTCACGCCACACACATGGGCCGCTTTGGAAAACCACGTGTGAATGCAGGCAGAGGGCGCTTCCTCGGCGTCTGAAGGCTTGGCATCAAACTCATGAAAGCAGAGTGTGTTAACCTGGTAAAACAATACTCTAGTTTCTGCCGAAAACAGAACTAACGACCCTCTTTAAAAAAAGAGAAAGAAAATAGTGTAAACCATTCAATGTGGTCCCACATCACGGAGGGAAAGAAAAGTGTTCAATAATGGCGGAGGTAATACTTTTTTCTACAGACTGTTGGTTTCGATTAGCACCTTTTCTGTGCAGTTAAATCATTTTCCACATATTTTAAGCACTGAAATTGCAAGTGCAACTTCTGAGTGAAAGTTCATTTTCAGCCTCTTAAGCTCTTCAAGTCAACAAAATCACCTGTTATTAAACTTCTTACTCAGGAACCGAATGAAACACACCCGGGCCGGGGCTGCATCATTCCTGGGCATAGAGGACTTCTTGTTTCCCCGTCCACTTCTCAGCTTTTCTCAGACTGTGTATTTCCCCCTCCTGCCGTCTAAAGCCAGATTGCGCATGATGTTGGAATGTACGCGGTCGTTCCTGGTCGGGAGCCGCCGAAATGGCCGGCAAGAGGTTTCATATTGTTTAAAGAAAGTTTTGCAGGATTTTGTGAGTAAAATTTAGCAGGAGGAGGAGGAGGTATGACAAAGGTGGAGATGAATGAGTTGTCTTATTTGTGACTCTCCAGGCCGGCCATCTGAGCTACCTGGACCCGGCCACTGGCTACGTGGTACTAACGCAGCTGGCCCACGTGCGGAGGGGCCGGTGCTGCGGCTCTGCCTGCAGACACGTAAGTAGGAAATTCTCGCCTTGCACGGGTGGTCTGCCATGCTTCTGTGACTGGATAAATGCCTGTTATTTGACAGGTCAAATAAAAAAGCTAAATAGACCTGGAATGCACTTTTCACTGGCTCCTCTAGCCCAGGACAACCAAGTCCTTAGGACCAACACGGGACCTTTCAACTTAATGGGATTTGGTAACAGTGGGAGACGACCACAGGTCCTTGAAATGCCGTGATGTGCAAAATCCATGGGAACTCTTTCCTACAAGGAAATTTGTCTTTACGTAGGCCGTGTTCAGCAGGTAAGTACAAAGAGGGCAGGAAAGGGGAGCCCGAATGTCACAGACTAGATCCCAGAAAGCACTTTTCTTCATTATTAACAATGAATAGACACCTGCCTAGTGTTGAGAGGTGGATTTCCTTTACACGATAAGGATTTTCTTTCTTTGTTCCTTTTTCTCCCCTCCCTCCCTCCCTCCCTTCCTTCCTTCCTTCCTTCCTTTTCTTCTTCATCTTCCTCCTCGTTTCTCCTTCTCTTCTCCCCACTCCCCCCCCACCTCCGTCATTCTCTGTGTGGCACTTTTCTCCTCTGTGTTTGACCATGACCCCTGCTACCCCCCAACTGTCCATTTCCTGAAATGTCTCTTTCAGTGATTCAGATGTGCACAGAGTCAGATAAACTAACTGCTCCTTCCCTGTTCTGAGCAAAAAATAAATGTGTAACTCCCCACGGGAACTTTTCGAAAGCATACTGTAGTCGGGGAGATTGTTACAGAGGTGAGACCCTCTATCCCCAGACCACTTGGACTGTGTGCTTTAGAGCAAAATGGTCTTCCCGTAAGTGACCCGCTTTATAACTGAGGAGCAGACACTAAGTCCGCGCGTTAACCGCAGCCAACGTTGAAAAAAGCCTCCACTTCCACGCATGCGCCTACCTGCACTGTTTTCTGTTTCTTATGAAGCACATGAACTGGGGACTCGGGGATTTTCCAAGAGCGAGTCATCGAGAGTAAAATCTTAAGGTCGGAAGGGTGCTTTTAGGAAATGATTCCTGGGCCCTAGTGAGGAGTGTTGGTCAGAGTGCTCATTATTCTCCTGTTAATCTGCAGGACCTGGTAGGTCAGGTGACCTTGATGACATGCTGGGCCGACCCTTCTTCCCACTGTGAGGAGTGTTGCACTTTTCCAAGATGATCACTGAGTAACTCAGTGATGTTTTATTTCTTCCACAGTGTCCGTATGGTCAAGTCAATGTTAAAGACCCAGCTAAGAAGAAGCAATTCAATTCCTGTTTTTACGTTTGACAAGAATTTCATCTCTGTCCTCCTTTATTAAACCTTATTTTAAAAACTCAACACCCAAACCCAGAATTGTTCTCTGCTTCTCAGGGCTCCAGTGCCAGGTCCGTAGTAAGTCTGTCTATTAAAGGGACATCGACACAATGAGAAAAGCTAGCGAATGCTGGGGTGTGGATAGTTCTTTTCCTTTTTTTTTTTTCCTTTCTGCCTCCCTCATCATCAGACACATATGTTGAAGAAAGAAAATAAAGGCTGTTCCATTAAATAAAGACGAGCAACCGGATGACACTGGTACCCCCTGAATTTCCCTGTAGCCTCTTACTCCCCACTGTTACCTCCTCGGGGTCGGCAGCCCGGCAGAGGGGGCGGCAGGCAGGAGCATTTGGAGACAGACGCCATTTTATTTATATCTCGAGCTCCGGGGAGGTTGACACCATGCTGTACTGCTCAGCACCTGACCGGCCAGGAAGTGCCGTTCGGCGACGAGAAATGCGCTCATCTTCCATCTGTTCTCTCAGTGAAAACTAAATCACTCTCAGCTGGGGGTCAGGCCACTTAGGATGCCTCCATTAAAGCGTTCTTTCTCCCCTCCCCCACGTTTCACTCCTCCATTCCCTGCGCATCTCCCGGCGGAATCTCTCTCTCCACCCCGTCCAGCCACTGCTGGGTAAACACCCCCCACACGCATCCTCTCCAACCTGGGCCAGGGCCTCAGGGGCTGTTCTTTGGGGCCTCCCCTCTGCACACCACCTCTGCTCCCTGCTGAGGACCTAGCCCCTGGGAAGCCTGTCCTGCCCACGGAAGGCTGGCTGTGCCCAGAGTGGGCCCTCAGCCCGTTCTCCAGTGGGATCTGAAGGGTTCTCGAACACCCAGGGGTGTACCTTGGTCTCTGCCTGTGGCCCCTGGAAGGACCTTAGGGAGCCAACAAGGGTTTGTGCCTTCTGTTGTGTTCAACTCAAAAGGAGAGCCCTTCCGGACTGTTCCCACTGACTGTGACTTCTGTTGCACGTTAGGTCAAACATTATTACACTGCTTCCCCGGCGTGGCCTTCTGGTGCCCCAGTGTTTGCTGGTGCCGATCCTGTGCCCTGTGAGGTCCCCGTGGCTCATTTCACCCTCTCTGGAGGGGCTGTGGTGGTGAACAGGAGGGGGTCCACATGGTGATCCGGGGGGCTGCAGCTGTCCTTCCCCGGGAAGGGTGGTGGGTTCCTGGAAGCCCATCTCCCTTCCACTCCCAGGGCAACACCAACTTTTTCCCTGGGGGGGGGGGGAGACTGCTTCTTTCACAGTCCGGAGAGGGAGAAAACAACAGAGCCCCAAATGCCCATCTTTCTGGAGACCTGACAAAGGGCACAGGACATTCATTTTGGAAGGCAGCCCCCTACCTAAGAAAGAGAGTGTTTTGAAGAAGCCCCTTGGCAGATGGAAATAACTTGGGAGACCCCGCCCTCGGAGCAGGCTCTTCCCCTGAGCGTTTCCTGCGGGGAGCAGAGCCCAGGAAGCAGGGAGTCCGGATGCCCATCACCGAGGACCCTTGCGCTTTGACTCCTGCGGGCAGAGCCTGAAGCCTTCCTGGCAACGGGGCAAAGGAGCCTCTGCCGCTGCTGGCGGCCGCGGTCTTGGGCGGGGGGATCTTCTTCCTGCTTCTGCAGCGGGAGCCCGAGTCAGGGTCCGCAGTTCTCCGTGGTTCTCGGGAGATGCTTGTGAACCACGCGTCGGGTGTGGCGCGGGTGGGGGGCTCCCACGGTAAACACGACAGGACCACATACGCTGGCCCCGCTGCATGAGGGTAGCTGCGTTGTAACCGAACCTAGTAAACAGCCAGGTCTCTTACTGGGTGTGGGAACCCAAACACACGCGTGCGCCCAGAAAAACTGGCTTCCCGGTCCAGATCGGCTGCTTTCTGGAGACCTCTGCTGCGAGGCGCGGTAAATCAAGGGGGGTTGATGTCTAGACTGTTTCCAACACCGAAAAACCACAGGGAAGCTGGGGGTCTCGCTGTGGGGTTCACGGGGTGGGGGTGGAGTATACTCCTGCCGCGGTGGCTGTTGCCCTCCTGGGCAAGGGCGCTGCCCTCTCCGGCTGTTCCAGCAGGTGGATTACAGGCCGCCCCTCCACCTCGAAAAGCCAGGTTATTTTAAAAAATACCCGCCCCCGCGCCCGCGGTGAAGCTATGGACTCCCAAACCATGTGTATGTGGAACGCGAGGGGCCCGGAGAAGAAAGGGAGATGCCCCCTCGGCCCCGCACGGGGCTTTGTTTCCCCGCAGCCCCCCCGTATCCTAAGGCGCTTGCGAGGTCGGTTCCGCACCCGCGGCCCCACCGCCAGGCACCCCCGCACCGGGTTCAGTCTCCGGAGGAGGCAGCGGCTGCGGGCCAGGCCGGCAGCGGTGCGCTTGGAGCCTCCGGGGCGGTGCTCGGAGACCTCGCTGTCCCCCGCTAGCCCGGAAGTCCCCTGAACCACCCACCCCAACTCCACGGCAACACCGGCCCTGTCGCCTTCTCTACGTCGGAGCAAAGGCTTGAGCGTGGGGACTGGACACCTGCCCATAGGGGGGGGCAAAAATTGCCCATGGTGGGGGCAATTTTTTTCAGTTCCTGGCAACAGTTAAAGATACTTCTGCCCAAACTATCCCCTCTGCTCAGGAAAAAAAGAAAGGCACATTTACGTGTGTGGCGGTGGGGGCGGGGGTGTCAGCGTCCAAAACTCCTCGGTGGGCAGCCTGGTCTTTACGAAAGGCCGTGGAAGGACCTGCAGCTCTTTGCTTAGGGGTCGGGGGTCCCAGCCTCCCCGCCCCCCCCCCGGACGCCCTACGTTCCCACTAACGGTTTCAAGGTTAAGCTCCAGACCCAAAACGGCCAGACTCGCGGAGCCCCCTTCTTGAGACTCTGGGTGCCGAAGCCTGCAAGCCCGGAATCCTGGGTGTAGGGGCGTTGGGAGGTTCCTGACGGCTTCCTCTTCCCACCCGAAATTTGTATTCTAAAGTGTGCGCAGCGCGTGGTTCAGTGTGCGCGCCTGTGCGCTCGCGCGCGTGTGTAGAATGTGTGTGTTTACCAAACACTTAAAATGGTTCGTCACCCAAAAGAGGAGAGAGAGAGAGCAAGCGAGCGCGCGCCGCTTCGGACAGGGATGAATACGAACACCTAAGCGTCTGGGGTGGGTGTCGCCATCCGTCCACCCGTCCGATGGCCTCGCCAGCGGCCATAGCAACTGAACCCGGGGGGCTTGTTCCCTCCCTGGTTGCGAGACAGGACCGAGATGCGGGAGAAGGAGGGTGTTATGGAGGAGAGAAAAAGCGAAGGAGGCCAGGCGGGGAGGGGAGGGGAAAGTCGGGGTGAGGGGACCTCGGAAGATGAACTAGCAGACTGGTTGGCTGGTGAGACTGGTTGGTGAAGCCAAGTAAGTGATCGGGTCGGATCGAGAGAGGCACTCTGCCCGGTGTGCCGGTTCCCCGAGCCGCATTCGGGATCGGGGGCGGGAAGAGGAAGCCGCAGGGCTTGGCCTCGTGGCTCCTGCCGAATCTCTGGCCACCGCTAAACTGTAGAGCTGTGCTGGCGGCCGGCAGAGAGGTGGGTCCGCCCCTGCCGAGCCCCACTGGCCCCGCATCCCGTGTTGTTATCGCGCGCGGCTCGTAGGCGCGGGGGTGTCCCCAGCTCACCGCGCCCTGGACAAACGCACAGTGGAGGAGCCGCTGTAGGGACACAGGGAGGGGCGGGCAGGAGGGGGGCATCGTCACCCCGACCGCATCCTGAAGCGGCCAATCTCTCTGCTCACACACCGTGCCCTACCCGCGCGGGGGCCTCCCAGTGATCCTGCGCCCCCGGCTCCCGCTGCGAGGGCGCGCTGCGTTGGGGAGTGGGTAGATCATCGGCCAGAGGCCCGTTTTCTCCGACCGCTTCCCCGTGGCCTGAGTGTGCCCGGGACTGCTGGGGCCACGCAGACCCTTGGGCACCCGAGACCAGGTAACAGGACGGATTCCGCCCGTCCAGAGTCAGTAAGTCAGTCTGCGCGCCATCTCCCCCCCCCCCCCACGCGCGTCTCCCCGGGTTTGAGTCGGTCCACCGCCCCCAGCGCCGGATAAAGTTAATAGCCATCTCCACCTCCTTGCCTTTGGCCAGAGCGCAGACCCCAGACAACGCCCCGCTGAGCGCAAAACGCACCCTAAAGAGCTGGGTTTCCGCGCCCCGCCCGGAGCGCAGAGTGATGAAGGGCCTGGGGGGCGGGGGCGGGGGTCTGGAATGTGCGGTGATCAATCAATGGCTTGGCCCAACTCCCCGAACCAGCTACCGCCCCTCGTCGTCCAGGCAGGCTCGGCTGCCGGCGGCATCTGTTCGGTGGGAGCTCCGGGGAGGGCCGCGGCAGGCTGGGGACCGGAGCCCAGGGCGCGCCGCCGGACTTCAGCCCCCTGCGGCGCCCAAACCTCAAGATGCTGGGGCTTTATGAGGTTCTGTAACGGCGAGGCCTCCATTAACACCTCTCCGGATTACTGAGAGGCTGGAAGGGCGGGACTCAAACTCGGAGAGCTTCCCCGGGCGCCCGCCCGGGGGTCCCTCTTCCCACCCCACCTCCTCCCCTTCTCGAGCTGGAAGCATAAACAGAAAATAAAAGACAGGTGGAGAGAGCTGCCGGTCAGAGGTGAGGGATGGGAGAGAAGGAGAGAAAGATTCCCATCCAAGGGCTCATGCGGTTTATTTATTCGGATTAACAGAGGAACCCTCGGGAGACCTGGGGACGGGCCAGCACCTCCGGCCGCCGCCTCCCGACCTCCCTGGCCGAGGTTCCAGGCGGAACGTTCTGACCTCCAGGTAAGACCACCATGGCAGGGGCGGAGGCCTGGCAGGAGCAGTGTTCTGCCCTAGGCCGGCTCGGAAGGCCGGAAGCCCGGAGCACCCCGGGACCCGGGACCGCGGGCAGCTGAGATCGCACCGGGTAGCGGTTCGGCTGACACCCTAGGCGGGAGGAGGCGTGGGCCCCCCACCCCCACCCCCACCCCCGCACCGCTGGGCTGACGCGCGGCTCCTCTCTGCAGCGCAGCCACCGTCCGGGCGTGATCAGCCCCTTCGGCCCCCAGGATGCTGAACGGCACTACTCTGGAGGCAGGTGAGCGGTGCGCCAGGGTCCTTCTCGTTTTCTCTGTGCTTTTCCTCGGGCGGGTGTGCACAAAGTGCGTGTGAATGTGTGTAGGTGCACCCGCGTGTGCGTGCGCACCTTCTTCGGGTGCGTATTTGTCTTAGAAATTATCCCGCGCTGCGTAGGCTCTAAAATACAGTCTCGGCCGGAGTCTCGCAGCTTCGGCCTTTCTTCCGAATTTCTGACCATCCGCGGGACGGAGGTCTCGGTGCCCGGAGCCGAGAGTTGTCGGCGGCGTGAGGGCTGCGCTCGGACCCTTCCGAAAAGGGGCTAGGGCACAGGGTCCTCGCTGGAAACGGGCTTCGCCCGCATCGTTTTTTGTTCGCTCCAACCCGCCCCCGCAGCTGCTTCATCGGACGCCCTGTGATGTGCCCCGTGGTTCCCGGGGCGACTCGGAAATGGCAGGTAAAGGGGCTGCAGACGTCCGAGGCGCGCTGTTTTGCACTTGGCGGCCGAGCCGTGGCCGAAGAACCCGGGGCCCCGGAGGGAAGGGGCGTGAGGGAGCAGGCGGCCGGAGGGGGGGTTTGCGGGCGCGGAGAGCGTGCGAGAAGAGGAGCGCACGGAGCCCGCGGCCCGCGCCCCCTCCAAGCAGCGGCGCCCCAGCCCACTCCTCTCCGTCGTGAAGGAGTCCCTCATCGTGACACTGTCAGAGGCGCGCCGGGCGGCAGCGCCAGTCTGGAACTGGGCACAGAGAGGTCCCTCAGTCCACCTACCGGAGAAGGGCCCGACGCCTCCCGGGCGTCCGCTCCCAGCGCACCCAACGCGGCCGCGCTCCCTGAGGGGTCCCAAGCCCCAGGACGACACTGACCCCTTGGGCCCTGGGGCGCTCACGACAGAGCCTGATGCGGGCAAAACCTCAATCGCTGCACCTTCTAGACCAAGGGGCTCCTCCTCAACCAGCTTAATGGGGTCAGGAGGAAGGTGACCCCTGCCCTTTAAAGGCAAACCCCGGGGCGGAGGCGCACAGAATCTTGGCCTCCAAAGCTCAAATCTAGGGAGACCTGGAGCTGCTCAGGCCCCCCAGAGACGCAGGTCTGCAGCCCCTGGGTAAAGCCTTGCACCCCCTGTCCTTTTCTCCGGGGGTCTGGGTCCCAGCCGGGTCAAGGTCGCCACCCTTGTCCTGGTAGAGAGAGAATTGAGGACCTTGAACTCCCAGTCCTCAGTTCAGCTCCTCCCTGGGCCCTGGGGGAGTGCAGCCTCGCCCTGTGGCCAGGCGCGTGGCTGGCAGAACCCAGAGGAGTGGGCCGGTGTGACTAGCCGGGCAGGGGCCCAGCCCAGCCCAGGGCGGGCCCCCTTGCTCTGAAGGGAGCTTTGGGCCCGCAGAGGAGACCATGTCTTCCGGGCTGCGGGCAGGACAGATGACTTTTAGGGGGCACTGAGGGTCATTCCGAGGAGGGTGAAAGAAGTGAAAGCCACAAAGATGCTCTCCATAAAGTGCTTCCTGTCCTTTGAGAGTGAGGTGTGGTGGCGTGGGGCCCTCTTGGGTAATTTTCTGGGGCTCTGAGACAAAAAGGGCAGGACACCCCAAGTCACACACCCAGTTCTTGAGGCATCCTCCCCCTTCGTCTTTAGGGAGCTGCAGGGGGAGGCTGGGCTGCAATTTCCGCACAGCTAACAAGGACCTCCCAAAGTCCCGAAGCCCCCCCCACCCCCCCACCCCCAGCTTTCTGCAAACTTCCTGTATTGGCTGAGAAGGAGGCATCCTGGCAGCCGGCTTCTTTATGGGAAGTAGCAAATCCCGGGGGGTGCAGGAACTTATTACCCGGCTTTTATAAGAAGAAGCAGGCGTAGCCGGGATGCAAGCCGGAAACCGGTTGCAGAAGGAGCCCTGCCCTGCTCAGGACCTGCGGGATGAATACCAATAGGTGTGGAACCAAGGGATGGATGGATGGATGGATGGACGAGTGAATGAATGGAGGCCTCATAGGATTCTTGTCTTTGGCTGCCCGGGACACTCTTCACCAAGTTCTGGCTTTTCCCCTGCAGTTGTTTGTTAAACTTTCACTTTGTGGAGTTTCCAAACTCATCTCTTGCAAGGAGAGACTGGTGTTCTTGGAATCTTTGTTCCTCTTGCCGAGCAGAATGGAAAATCCAAGAACAACCCATCCGAATTCCAAACCGCCCCTCCCTTTGGGAGGGATGGGGGAGAGGCGGGGAGCAAGCGTTCAGCCCAGAAATAGGAAAAAGCACGTCCCTGGATGGAGGTCCCACATTCGCTGTCTCCTTGGAGCCCCTCAAGTTAATGGACTGCTGTGCTTCTCAGAAACCACTCCTCCTCCCCCTCCCCCTCCCTCTCCCCTCCTCCTCTTCCACGGGGTCTGAGTCCTTTTTGCCACTGACTTGTGGGAGGCGATCGCCCCTTTGTGACAGGACCTGCTGTCTCTGAAAGGGGGCCACCCGGCCCCTCCTTGGGCGCCCCCCCACCTGTGTGTGCCGGTTTGCAAAGCTCATTGATTTCCATCCAAAGGGGCTAATTACATTACTTACAGTAAATAGCTGCCCTGCTGTCTGCTCGGGCTGCCAAGGGGGGGGGGGTAGGTCTCCAGCTTAGTTCCCTTGATTGGCTTCATTTCTGTGTGAAATTGTGTTTTACGAGCTGCATTCTGGCACCGGCATGACTGCAAGGGCGTCCAGTCTGCAAATGACATTATTTCTGACCCTGAGAAAAGAGCAAGGGGATGCTTGGGGTCTCAGGTCTTGTGGAAGGGGTGACCCCAGCAGCTTCAGAAGCTCGTGCTTTGGGACAAGAACTCCGGCTGCCGTACCCAGGGTTCCCCTTCCTCCCTTCCTTCCTTCCTTCCTCCCTTCCTTCCTTCCTTCCTTCCTTCCTCCCTTCCCTCCTTCCTTCTTCCCTCCTTCCCTCCCTTCCTCCTCTCCCTCTCTGCCCCCCCACCCCATCTTTTTAGATTTGGCTGAAGTTCCTTGTCATTCCCACAGAGGGAAGCAAGCGTCCCACCAGGGCACTCCCTGAGGTACCCAGGCTGCGCAAGGACACAGCCCTCTGTCCCCAGGGGGGACTGGTGGGACAGCAGCAGGCAAAGGGGAAGAAGGGGGCACAGAGCAGCCCCGCTTCCTCCTCTCTGGTTAAAGCTGGGCTGCTTCCTGCCGCTGCTCCAGTTTCGGGCCACTAGGGGACTTCTGGTGGTTTGAATGAATGGACAGTCTCCGAGGACTGTGGACATTTTTCAGTAGGGCCGAGGAGGGGAGGCCACTGGCAGGGCCAGAGGGAGGCGGAACAGTCCGGCCTCTGGCCAAGCGCAGGTCCGCCGCGGCGCGCGCCAGCTCTCCCCTCCCCCTCCCCACAGTGCCGACCCCCCTCACATCCTCCCAAAGGCCGCCGTGCCTCATTTCTCAAGTCCCTTCTCCTGCCAGGGCAGTGGGGACAGCATGCAGTGGGGCGCGCCCCGAGCTCCCGGGAATCCTGGACGGATGCCCACACTGACAGGTTTCAAAGAGGACACTACACTCACCAGCCGCTGTCCCTCAGACCCGAGCTGGGTAAGAGAATAAGACATCACGCCCGGGCCAGACGCACACATGTGACCACAAATCCACACCCATTTCCACACTAATTTTTCAAGGGAATCTTTTTGCCAAGAGTAAACTCTACACACACAGGCTCTCCTAGCGCTAGCCTGATTCTCACTTCGGGGCGCGGCTCCAGCCGCTGGTTACTCCGGGTCCTCTCGGGGAGGTCAGGCGACTTTCTTCTTAAATAAGTGAGCGGAGGAAGAAGGGTCGGGGATTGCAGGAATAGCTCTCCAATATTTACTTCTTTGGGGTCCCGTAAGCTGAGGACCGGAGAGTCCGCACGAGGAAATCCAAAGTTTGGAGCCGACATCGTTTGCTTTGAGCTGGCGGTCGGACCCTGAACTTGGACCTCGCAGGCCGGCTGTCTACCTCCTGCGCCAGGGCGGGGACGATAAGGGCTCCTGGAAAATGCGATCGCTGGGAAGTCTTGGAAGGGTGTGTGTGCACGCGCGCGCGCGCGCGCGCGCTGGGGGACTAACTGCCCCCTCCCGCGGCCCCCCCCCCGCCCCCACACTGCAATGTTTGTCCCCACTTGCCCATCACCAGGGGGCTGAGAGGAGTATGACAGGGCTTTGTTGTCTGAATAAAACTCCGTGGCAGCTCCGGGGAGAGAACTCCTCCTACTAAATTATCAAAAATGGGCTGGCTTTAGTCTCTTAACAAATTGGACAGAGCCCGGGCAGGAGCAGTCCCCAACCCAACCTAGAGGCACTGGGAACTTGCAAGCAGCCAGGGACCGCGGAAAATAGCACTTCTCTCTCTCTCTCCCTTTGTGTTCAAAACTGTTTTCTCTCCGCACCAGACTTTGTTTTCCTCTCTCGCCGCAGTTGTTTCTCATTAGTAACTCGATCTCTCGGAGCCGCAAGATTCGCCTCCTGTCCCTCCCTCCGCCCGTGTTTGTTTGTTTTCTGCGCATCTCCTTCGGGGAGCCGCGAGGGCTTTTCTTGTTTCCGTCCTCCATTCGTTTTTCTTCTCCAGCCAGACTGTTTTCCACTCTGTCTGCCTCTCTCTCCTTCCCTCTCTCCCTCCTGCCCTGGGTCCCCGAGCGTCTCTGCGCTCCCGCGCCGCGCAACCTCCGCGGTCCCCGCCGCGCCCTTCCCTCGGATGAGCTGAGAGACCCGGGTGCGTGTATATGGAAATAGTGGGGTGCCGAGCAGAAGACAACGTGTGTCCCTTCCGCCCCCCAGCCATGCTCTTCCACGGGATCTCCGGAGGCCACATCCAAGGCATCATGGAGGAGATGGAGCGCAGATCCAAGACCGAGGCCCGCCTGGCCAAAGGCGCGCAGCTCAACGGCCGCGACGCGGTAAGGAGGGCCCCGCGCGAGGCCGGAGCCGTGCGCGCTCTGCAGCTCCTGCTCCCGGCGGCCCAAGGAGGACGGCGGGTCTTGGGGAGACCACGCCAGGCTGGCGGGTGGGTTTTCTCAAGTCAGCCGGTCTGCGCGGCTCAGCGCCGGCCTCTCTCTCGCCCTTGAAAGGTCTCCACTGCTGAGACCCTTCGCTCGACATTATCGCCCCAGCTCTTCGCGGGAGAGCAGGGGATGAGGGAGCGAGAGGACGGACACGTCCTCGTCTCCAGACCTCAGATTCGGGTCTCCGGGCCCCTTGGCTCCCGGGCGCCTCCCGGGAGACGATCTCGGCCCGAAGAGCGAGCTGGGCGCAGGCTGTAGGCGGACAACGCGCGGCCTGCCCCAGCGTCCGGGCCACGCGGGAGCCAGGCGTCCCTAGTCTCGGGTCTGATGACCAGATCTTTGCAGTGGACTGGAAATGACGGGGCCACCTCCACTTCTCCAGACATTCGGAGCTCGGCACCCCCAAACCCAGCGATTTTCGAGGTGGCTGTTAGCTAGGCTGGGCCCCTTTAACGAGTAAGGATTGCTCTGGGGTCCCTGGCGGGACGCGTGTCTGGTGCAAGGAAGCCTAATGAAAAGCCGTTGGACCGAGGCCCTTAGTCCGAGTCTGAGAACGTGCTAACCTTAGAGGGCGGGATCCAGTATCACCATCACTACTATTCACAATAAGAGGCATGTCCGCTGCATAGAGAAAACCCATTAATAATCTAGGAGCTGCCCCTTCCCGCTTAAGAACCGGAGGGGAAAACTGCGAAAGTCTGGAAGTGACCGCAGGCCGGCCACAGGGTGTAGGTCCTGAGGCATCGCAGAGGGGACTGTAGCCCCGACTAAGCTGGTGCGTGGCCCAGGGCCGCTCGGTGGTATGTGGGGTCCACCGAGGCCGCGAGTGGGTGGATGTTTCTACGTTTAAAACACAAACTCAGTGTGTGCCCCCGGTCTGGGTCGAGGCGGAAACTTTACTTTCCCAGGCCTGCTGCAGTTTCATGGGGGAAGTCCAGCCCATTTCTGCTGGTCTTGAAGGAAATGTCCAGAGGTTAGATTTTTCTCCCGCCTTTCACGGCCCTCCTGTTTAAAAACAGAAAGCGGCATTCCGAATTTCCACGGGCTGGGCTCGTCTAGGTGAGATTTCTCCAACCTCAGTGGGGCGTGCGTGCAGGAAGCTGGATTTGGACACTGAACAGGGTTACAGGAAAGGTCTCCTGGTTATGTGTGTTTCAGGGGTTCTGTGCCAAAGGACCCAGCCATGGGCCCTTCACCCCCTGACCAGGAAGAAGACCAGGATCCCAGGAAATTCGGGAAACGAGTTCTGCCAAATACATCCCCATCCGAATGATGTGGGCCAAACTATGAACTCAGCTATGAAAAATCTTTTTCATGCTTCTAGGAATTTAGAGAGACAGGATCATAATGCTGTTTGTTCAGAAACAATCGACACTCCTTCAAACCTCCTTTCCACTCCTCAACAACAATGCCCGTGGTTTTATTTTGTGCGCGTTGAAAGCCACACTTTAAAAAAATCTTGTGATTCTTTGACTTTGGAGACACCCACCAAACTACAATCCATGTACTCCTTGGCCTTTAAAAATTAAGTTCCAGGTGGCCGGCATGTCCCCAGAGCAAGCCAGTGGTTCTGGTCAACAACACGAAAGGGAGTGAGCCGCAGAGGAAAATTAGCAAACGTTTCTCGACGTGGTCCTTGTCACGTTGGCCCTTGCCCCTGGCCGGGGGTGGGAGCACCCGGGGCTGGTGATAATTGGGACCCCTTACCCCCCTACCTGCGCCCTCCTCAGCCTGCTCCCTGCTTGCCTTGCAGGGCATGCCCCCGCTGAGCCCGGAGAAGCCCGCCCTGTGCGCAGGCTGCGGGGGCAAGATCTCCGACAGGTACTACCTGCTGGCAGTGGACAAGCAGTGGCACCTGAGGTGCCTGAAGTGCTGTGAATGTAAACTGGCCCTCGAATCTGAGCTCACCTGCTTCGCCAAGGACGGCAGCATTTACTGCAAGGAGGATTACTACAGGTATCTCCACCTCCACAGGTCCCTACGTCCTCAAACACCTGGCAGGTCCACCCGCTCGAACCCCGGAGGCCCTCACCTCCCTTCGGTTCCCCACCTTTCGCCCCTTCGGGGTACGGTTATCCCTCTGGAGACCAGGAACGTCCGCTCACACACCTTCAAGCTGCAGCCCCAAGGTGGGCGGTGAAGAAGGGTGGGTAGCGCGACCCGGGGGACACAGGGAATCCTGCACACTCCGGTGGCCGCTCGCAGGTCTTGGAGGGAAGAGGAAACGAACGCGTGGCCGGCCTCCGAGTGGAAAGCGGAATTTTTCCGTTTGCTGCGAACTGGGCCAGCTCCGTGCTTTAGACCTGAACGCGTGGCCCGCCAGCAGCCGCCGGGCGCCGCATTTTCTCGAGGGAGGCGGGAGATTACGCAAAGGACCGTGAAAAGCAACGACGGTCCTGCGGAGAGCCGGGCCACTCGGTCCCCAGTTCCCTTTTCCGCGGGCGGGAACCGGCCCGCCAGCCCTCCAGACTGCCGGGCAGGCTGTTGACCGGCCCTTCCCTGCCACGCTGCCGGGCAGGATCGGGAAGAGGACCGGGAGCAGGGGACCCAGCCCCGCGCGGCGGGAGCGGCGGTTAGGGAAGCATCCGCTTTCCTCTGCAGCACGGCCCTTGTCCCCGGCTGCTGCGCGCTGCGCGCACACTCCCGCACCCACACGTAATACCGCCCTTCGTTCACGGAGGGCCGAGTGACGGATGAACCGTTTTTGCCTTCGTTGCAATTTAATATTCTTTCCATAACGTTATGACTTAGCTAGTGCCGATTTTTCCTCCCTCGAGCCCCATCTTACAGAGAAGAAAAGTCAGGATCCATTGCCCGATTCTTCTCATTTTAATGTAAGGGTTCTTTGTCCTGTTTATCAGAACAGGTCGACTAGCAAATAAAATTAATGCTCCAGAGGGCTCTGTCCTCTCCTCCGGAGTCCTCTGGCCTTAGGCCTGGGCCACTGCTGACCAAGGCCCCGCTGTCACGCCTGGGAGATGGCCCTGCCTTTGCCTCAACCAGCGCCCTGACTCCACTCTTTCCTTCCAGAAGGTTCTCTGTGCAGAGATGTGCCCGCTGCCACCTCGGCATTTCCGCCTCCGAGATGGTCATGCGCGCCCGCGACTCCGTCTACCACCTGGGCTGCTTCACCTGCTCCACCTGCAACAAGACCCTGACCACGGGCGACCACTTCGGCATGAAGGACAGCCTGGTGTACTGCCGCGCCCACTTCGAGACCCTCCTGCAAGGGGAGTACCCAGCGCCGCTGAGCTACACCGAGCTGGCGGCCAAGGGCGGCGGCCTGGCCTTGCCTTACTTCAACGGCTCGGGCACCGTGCAGAAGGGGCGGCCCCGGAAGCGGAAGAGCCCGGCGCTGGGAGTGGACATCGTCAGTTACAACTCAGGTGGGTCCTTCCCGCGGCCCTGCATCCCCAGTGCGCGGTCCGAGAGGAAGCCCGCAGAGCTTCTTCGCCTCCAGGATCTAATTGCGGGAGGCGCTTTGCTTAACAGGCCCTTGTCACTACTGTCCCTTCCCTCCAAGGAGTGGAGAGGGAGAGAACTCGAGGAAGAGGGAGGGAGAGAAACCTTTGTTTAGGTTGTGGCGAAAAACACATCAGTGACCGTCACGGGGCTGCGGCGACTTCCTGGACACACGGAGTCCAGCCCTGGCCGCCCATTAGTTAAGGAGCCTGTTAGTTTCTGGCCCCCACTGGGAGCAAAGCAGCCCCGGGGCAATTCCTGTGTGGAACCCTGGGCAAGACCCCAGGGAGGGTTCTCCTCGACGCTGGAAAAAGGGACAAAATTTTCAGAGCCCAACCCCGATCTGCTTAGATCGGGGCAGAGACTGTGCTCACCGCACGGAGGAAAACAGTGGTCCAGAAGGTTGAAACACCAAACCCCCGCCTTGGCGAAAAGCTGCTGGGGGTGGGAATCAGGGTCGGCGGCTGAGTGGGCCTGCCCCTTCGTCCTCAGCCGGCCTGCCCGCTCCAGCCCCGCGCGGTCAACCAGCCAGAAATCCAGGCCCCAGGGAGGTGGACAGAGGCCTCGGGTCAGGCCCCCTGGGGTCGCAGGGGGCCTGCCCTTCTGTCCTCTGCCAATGCCCCCTTGTCTTTAAAAACCCAACGTGGCCACAGGGCACCGAGCGCCCCTCTCTCTCGCTGCGCACCCCTCAGCACCCACCTTTCCTCTTTGCCCATTTCCTATTGTCAGTGGCCAGCCCACACCCGCCAGCCCACCGGGTGGGGTGGTGACAAGCCTGAGGAGGGCGGTCTAACTCCAAAAGGTGGCAGCTCTTCTCGGAAGCCCCACCCACGGGGAAAGGGGGCTCCAGAAGCCCTGCGTCAACTTTGGGGGCGCCTAAGGGCTGGCCCTGGTCCAGCCCGTCTGGGAACCCCAGCGGGTAGGGGCATCGCTCTGCTGGAAGGGGCCTCGGAGACTCACGGTGGCACCCCCACTCTGGTCCCAGGAGCTCCTGGACACCAGCCAGACGCTCGGGCACCCAGCACACACTCAGATCTTGGTAGTGTTCCCTTGCTGCCCCCAGGAGCCTGGTAGGACATCTGATCTTTGTCCTAGTTCAACAGTGTGCCTTGCAAACCAGAGAAGTGGTTTGCCCACGGCCGTATAACCAGAGTGAGCGAGTGGGCTCGAGGAGCCCAGCATGTTCAGGGCTGGACCCTCCGGGTGCGGGGGATCCCCTCCTCTGCCCATCTCCCTCCTGGGTTCTCGGCTGAATTAACGAAGGGGGCGAATCCGTTCAGCCAGCGCGCTTTGCCCCAAGGAGAGCACAAATGGGGAGCCCAGCCCGGCTCCAGTTGTCTCTCGGGTTTCACGTCAGGGTCACTGGGCCAAGGGAAGAGGGCCAACGGCTCACCAAGGCTCCCACCCGGGCGGTTTTGTATCGGTGCGGTGCGGCGGGTGCCCCTGGGTTTTGCCAACCCTGGCGGAGAGTCTCCGCCTCGCGCTCTTCCCGCTGTGCTCAGGCGAGGGCTTTGGTTCGGGGCCACTTTTCTCAGCGCCGCATGCTTGGTCTCCTTTGATGCGTGGTCCCCGGGGCAAGACCAGGCAGGGCAGTAATTATTCTTTATTAATATAAGATGACATCGGAATCTGGAGCCACTCACCCAGGCCCTGGTGCCCTAATTAGAAAGAAAGAAAGAGAGAGAGAGAGAGAGAGAGAGAGAGGTGCACATCACTGCCTGCCTTCTGGAAGCAGGACATCCCTGAGCTTCTGAAAAGCCCAGAAAGGTGAAGGACGATTTCTCGTCCAACAGATGCCGGCCTGGCTTTTCCCCTGTTTATTTAATCTAATTAGCTACATTTGACTTTGCTTTGGACCTGTCTCTAGGCTCAAAAGATCCACCCAAGGAGCTCTGAGGGCAGTAGAATATTGCTCCTCTACTGCTCCGAGGAGAACCAGCGAGTGCAAATTTATTTTTCCTTTAAAAGGATGGAAATTCCCTTCCATTTCGGTCTTTTGTTTGCAAATTACCGCTGCTACTGGGCTCTCAGATGGCTGACACTTCCTGGCTCTTGAAGGAGGGGTTGCTGAGGCCTCCCTGACGCCAAGGACTTTCTACATGACGGGTCCAGATGCCTTTTAGTGAATCCACCCATCCTTTCTCCCTAGACATACCACTAAATAGTATATATTTCTTTACTATCAGGTGAAAATAATCTAGAGAAAGGGGGTTAAAGGTGTCGGCTAGAAAATCCACCCAGCAATAAAAAAATGTTTGTGAATCTAATGCCGGTTTCTTACAAAACTAGCAAAAGAAATGCTTTGGCGAATTAAAAACGCTGGAAGGTAGGAGATAAAAGGCACCCTCAGTTTGTGCTCATTTTCCTCGGCTTCCTTTGGATCTTCTGTGGCCATCTCTGCTTCAGGGTAGACTAGTCTTGGAAAGAGTAACGTTGGTACCAAATGCAATTTTACACACTGACATATTTGCAAAAACACATGTACACGAAATCTGCTTGTGATCCGAGGCCTTCCAGGGAAGACGTGAACATTGGCAAAGACCCCTTGGTGCTTGACATGAGGCAAATGCCTTTTAATGCGGATATTCCTAATTTAGTTTTATCTCTGCAAATAGGCAGGTATTTTAGAGAGAGATGTGGAAAGTTTATTTAGAATGCCGGATTGAAATAAAACCCTCCCCTGGTGAGAAGCTTTAGCCTAGGACAGGCATCTCTTATTTCGGGTGCTTTAGCATGAACCGACAGACAACCTTTGTGCCGGTTCTCAAAAATCTTTCCTCCTTAGTGTCTCTTTTCATTTCCAAATTTCAGAAGCTCCTGGTAGCTGTTAAATTAGCCTTGCACTGACCCCTGGCGGCCTCTCAGGGATCCGTTACTTCTCGGAAGGTTCACCGCCTGGGAACAGAAGCTCACTGGAGTACAGGCGACCATTTCATTAGTGGCTGCAAAATAAAATAGAAGTTCTCGTTAACGTGGTCACGCCCGCTGTGTATTTAGGGCCCCTGTGTAAGCCAGTTTGAAGAGAGTTATCATTGCATCTCATAAATCAGGGCGGGAAACCCTATAGCTTTAGAAGTAGACCCAGGAGGCACGCAATTGCCGGCAGGTTTACATAATGCATCTGTACTAACACGCACATCATTGAGGGTGTTGCACCGAGTTGCTCTGTGGGTGAAATGGATTGCTCCATTACGCTGAGTAATGTAAGTGATAAAACAGCCCCAGAAAAATCACACAGAGTCCTATCTGCTCGATAGAGTGCTAACCATGCCCTCACACACCCAACTGTGTTCTGGGTGAAAACAAGACCCGTTACTGTGTTTAACGAACTAAGGTTCTCTGCTGATTAAAAAGTCATCAATAATGGAAATAGAGTGCACGCTCAGAGAAACAATTTTATCAAGCCTTCCTATAATTATCGCTCACCGACCCCATTTTAAAGGCTAATGAGGACGCAGTTAGGTTAGAAATCAAACTCATTTCTAAGAAATACGACTTTGGAGCCGATGGGAGCAAAGGTCATTATCAAACACAAGTTAAGTCTCCTATGCCAAGTGTAATAATCAATTTAATGCGCTGTTTAGGAAGCACTGCGTGTTATGTACGATGGGAATGAAATCTCGGAGGCAGCCTGCAGTGACTAACATGTGCCTCTCGGCCCATTTTGTTGTGGGTGCCTTTATAACCTGGCTGTGAAATCCAGCTCCGTTACCTGGAGATAAGTTTGGTTTTATGGCAGGTCATGAGACGCAGTTTCATCCATGGGAGGATACCAAAGTGCAATTCTGTTGGATATTTGAACTTGACATGTCCCCACTGGGTGGAAATAGGCTAAAATTCAAAGCGCCTTCTCTGGCTTTTCTACGGGTATATGATATTCTTGCTGGTGGGGCTTGAAACCAGCAAGAATACACACCCCACATTTGGAGGTGTGTATCCTGACTTAGATTCTATCTTGAGTTGGCTTGATTTGGCATCAGTAGTCACTGATGATGTTACTGATGACCGAGATGCAAAATTTTGATTGCTTGCTTTTCGGGCTTCTCGCCCTGTGCTTGACTTACAGGGCTCAAAGGTGAGCTCACCTTTCAAATGTCATTGAACTCACCTTCTCTGTTGCCACGGGCGCCCTCCTACTCCTGTGTCTTATGGAAATATCAACAAAGGAGACATTAATTCATGCCCAGTCCCACTGCATGAACAAGAATGTCTCGTTAAATACATTTTGCGATGTACAATAGCTGACCTCCTGATGTATCTGTATATATACGGAGTCCCTGAAAATAATTTTTAGAAAGTAATTCTAGCCAGGGCATAGCAGGCAGATAGTATTTTATAAACAAAGTGGAAGAGCTCATACTTAGAGACGCCTCACTCACGCCAGCACTAAGGTTTCTTTCCTCTCCCCCCACCCCACCCCCAAGGACATGATCAGGTTGATTTGAAATATTCTATTATTTACTGTACCAATATCCAGGCCGATTGGATCTGAATATGCATCAGATAAATACCTGAAATAAGGATTACAGAAACAAAAATTGCCATGTCCTGTACGTTGTGAAGTTGGCCGAATCAGTAAATATTTAGCAAGATGTTTTCATTTGGTATTTACCATGGGGAGCAAGTAGGTACCGGAAATGACCTTTTAAACGCACAGCTTTGTATCCCCGGGATAACGACTTTCCGGCTGGTTTCAAAGGCTGGGCTGCTCTGCCCCCTGTGCTGAGGGGAGCTTTGCCAGGGGAGGGAAGTTGCCACCTACCCGGAGCCAGGCCAGCCAGGAGCACAGCTCGAGTCCCACTCACAGCACCCAGAGCAACGGGGCCCAGATGTGAGCCTGGAAATGAGCACCCGGTGTCTGTCATCTGTGTGCTGTGGGGGCGCTTCAGGCAAAAAACCGGGTGAAGACAAGTGTGGGCCCCGTCTCTCCCAAGAAGGTTTATTAAAGCAGCTCCTAGGAAAAACGGGTTTCTGCCCCGCACAGGCCTCTCCGTGAACCAGAGCCCAAAGCCCTCGAAAATAATCTTGTTATGATTACATAAGAAATCCACACATTTTCATTGTGTAATTCCTCCCCCCCCACCTCCAGGCACTTTCTAACTTTTTCCTGACAGAGAAAGTTGTGGGAATAGCAGAAAAGGCTAGAAATTGGAACCGTCCTTAGCTGGCTGGTTTCTCGGAAACCCTCCGAGTGGAGGGAGGGGAAAGGGGCTGTTTGCACAGCCCCGGTGACAGAAAGACGGCCTTCGGAGAGTGGGCGTCATGTCACAAACGGCGACACAGTGTGGAGTATCTAAAACCTGTGTGTGTGGAGGGTGGGTGCACAAAAGTACGTTGGAAAGGGGCTTTTCTTTCTCATTCTTGGAGGTTTCTCTCACTGCTGCTCTTACTCATCTTAAGTTTTCCCAGCAACCATTAAGCAAAAGAGGAGGACGATCTAATGTTTCTCTAGGGTATAAACTTTGGTCCTGCCATCTTAACAGGTTAGCTTGGCTGACTTTGGCAGGTGACCTCTTCCAGGTGCCTGGCTACCCCTCCCAATTGGGTGAACCAGTGGTTCATGACCACAGCATCCCCCCCCCCCCCCCGCCGAGGCACGGGTTTCCACTGAGCCCTTGTTTGTTTCCCGGGCCCACCACAGGTTGTAACGAGAACGAGGCCGACCACCTGGACCGAGACCAGCCGCCCTACCCGCCCTCCCAGAAGACCAAACGCATGCGCACCTCCTTCAAGCACCACCAGCTCCGGACCATGAAGTCCTACTTCGCCATCAACCACAACCCGGACGCCAAGGACCTCAAGCAGCTTGCTCAGAAGACCGGCCTCACCAAAAGGGTCTTGCAGGTAAGAAGGCTCCATCGTTGGCTGTGCACACATCCCCCTCCCCGTCGCCTGTGAAACTAGTTCTCTCCCCTGCTGAGCCACGCAGGTATTTCCTGGACTGCATCTCACGAGTTGACTGTCCCAGAGGGTGTATTGGGATTGCACAGGGCTCGGGGAAAGGGGCCAGAGAGAGAGCCAGGATCTTTAAAATGCAGCCACGTGCTCCCCCGAGGTGGAGAGAGGGACCTTGGAGCCTCCTTTCCTATTGGGCTCCGCGCACAGACTTGTGGGGGACCTGCTGGCCTGCCTTAGCAGCCTCACCCCCAGTTCAGGCCAACCCTCTTTTCCAGCCCCCCTCAAAGCCACAGTAGGGTGAGGGCCTCAGGGACCAATTGGTATTTTCCCTTTTGAACGAACCACATTGAAAAACCAAGTCCCGGGGGTTAGATGAGCAGTCCAATCGCTGGGGTGACGGCAGCGGGGTAAGACTGTCCAACTACTGGGACGCCGGGGGTGGTGGCCCACTGTGGTCCTCCTCCACGTCTCAGAGGCCCACAGCGGGCCTTTGGGGGTCTGGCGGCCTGGAAATATGCCCTGTGCCAAGAGTGCCACCTGTGCGCCAGACTCAGGAACAGCCTGAAACCCGTTCGTTTCAGTGATGTTCACTTCCGAGGGGCGAATCAGACTTTGAGAAACTTGGGGACCCCCCTCCTCCTCATTTCTCCAGAAACGGTGGCTCATGGAACAAGGCGCATCTCCTGCCCCTTCTCTTCCATGCCTTCATTTCTGTGGTGTGTCCACTTCTGTGTCATTTGTCCTCAGTGGCTCTTGTTTATGCTGGGGGTGGGGGCAGGGGCAGGACACCTGTAGAGTTAGTTAAATGAGCCTGTCCTTAAAAAAAAAAAAAAAAAAAAGAAAGGAAGAAAAAAAGAAGGAAAAAGAGAGAAAGAAAAAAAAAGTCCCTTCTCTCCCAAGAAAAAGAAACAATTATATTTAAAAGAGAAACCTGTATCCTTCCCACACCAAAAAAAAAGAAAAAAGAAAAAAAGAAAAAAAAAAGAAAGAAAAAGAAAAAAGTGAAAGAAAGAAAGGAAGGGAAAGAGAGGCAGAGAAAAACAAAGTCTAAAACTAAAACACCGGTAAAGACATCCGTTGGGATTGGTTTGCAGGTTTGGTTCCAAAACGCACGAGCCAAATTCAGAAGGAACCTTTTGCGGCAGGAGAATGGGGGTGTTGATAAAGCCGATGGCCCGTCGCTTCCAGCGCCGCCCTCCGCGGACAGCGGCGCGCTCACTCCGCCCGGCACAGCGACCACTTTAACAGACCTGACCAACCCCACTCTCCCCGTAGTCACAGCCGTGACCTCTAACACGGACAGCCGCGAATCCGGGAGCCCCTCACAGACCACCTTAACGAACCTTTTCTAACGTTGGTTTCCTGAGAACGCCTCCTCTTCTTTTCATTCTTATTCTAATTATTATTTTATTATTTACAAGACTGCCCCTCCCATCCCCCCGCCCCCTCGCCCCGCCCCCCTCAAACCCACAAGATATTTGGGAAATAAAAAACGACAGCTTGGTGTGTAGCATCCTCAGCCACTTGGCGAATGAGTTTACAGTATTGTCTCCTTTACAAAGTGTATTTATTTATTTTTTTGTCTACAAAGTGTATTTGGGTTTAAAACAAACAAATCAGATCTTTCAGCCGGTAAGGGGAGTTTTTGAATCATTCTAAGTGCCTCTTACAATTGTATGTTACTTATTTCCAGAATCTCGAAGGGAAAAAAAAAAAGAGAGAGAATGGTCTTTGGATAGTCATAATCCCACTTGAAAGATTATGTTAATAAAGTCTCAGACAGTCAATGACAGCTCTTTATTAAATCTTGCAATTGTATGTATACTTCTGGAGTTTTGAAAACTTTACATTTAAAAAAATTTGAAACTGAAAAACATGTTTTGGTTGCTCCTTTTTCTTACAAATGAGAAAGAAACATGATTAAAGAAAAGCACTGACTGTAGCAACTCGAATATGAAGGATTAATTAATTTTATTAGGGTGGACAACTATTCCAGGAAGGGAAGTTTCCTTTCTCATCTAAAACTCACCTTAGTTAGTTGCTTTTGCACACTTGAACATACTGAAACTCCCCATGTATTTATCAAATTCCAGATAGAATTTGAAATTTGATTCTCATTTACCTTTCAAAAGCCACAGATGGTAATTGTAAAGCCATTCTTTCTAAATTAATTTTTCCCCCAGGGAAAGTGGAAATAAGCAAAATATAACTTTTTAAGAAATCAAAAAATCAGCACAACTTAATTAACTTAATTAATAGCTCTATGGATTGGCTTCAGCTGTAGCAGGATATTGTCTCGGGCATGCTACATGAATCATGTTCACAAAGAAACTTGGTAGACTAATACCACCGCTGAGAATTCCTTGTTTTCGTTTTGTTTTCATTTTACTTTGGCACAGGTTGATACACTTGTCGGAAAAAATAGAACTTTTCTGACATGAGAGGTTTGACGTCATGAGTCTAAATGTAGATAAACTCAGAAGCCTGCTGGATGCTGATCTGAATATATTTCCTAGTTTACAGTAGCATTTTTTTCCTTTTAATTTAAGTGAGAATCTTAATGGTCTGGGCAGTGGGGAATGTTCATCTCTATGCTTCCGTTGTAGTTAAATTACAATTAGATTGTGGATTTCCTAAAAAAAATAATAATAAAGAAATAAAAAAAGAAGTCAAGATATATGTCTTGCTTTAGTGGGTTGTTAAGAATAACTTTGCACATTTTCTCCACTTGTCGGACCCCCTAAAGTCTCCTCTGGTGGTCCGAGTGGCTAGTTAATAGGTTTTCATGGTGTCCTCTGGCTGTGTGGTTACATTGACGGTTCACTGCCCAATTAAAGTGCATTATTGTAACTTTTGCTCAGGGTCTTTAGAAAATTAGCACAGAAAGTAGCTTATTTTTTAAAAAAGAAAGTATGATGGAAGGTAAGTAAACACTGTAACAGGAGAAAGGCGTGATTGCCGTGGCGTACTCAGCAAGTGTGGTTTATCATCTTCTATGGAGCTGAAATCTTGACTTTTCGTATTTCTCTTCCACTTTGGGCATTTACCACTAACCAGACCAAACGTCCTTGGTAAGGCTGAGATCTTATTCATACACTTTTACAGGTAAAATGTTGATGCTTATAAATTTTGTTCTTTGACAGAACAATATATGGTACTATTACTATAGATCTACTTTATTAAGTAGACTAATTATAACTCAGTTCTCCTATGTGCCTTATGATCTAACTTGGAAGTAAGTTTGTGAAGAATCAGGATATATGTGTTGTCTGTTAAATGAACTGTTCTCAGCCCTTTGACACCTCACTAGTTTTGTACTGTTTTTGCCTCTGATTTCTGAAACCCTTTTTTCTGGTGTATCTTGTTAGAGGGGCAGACGTGTCATGGAGAGCGGTGTGCACTCTTTCAAATATAGTTGATAAATTCAATAATCTTATATATTGAGCTTCGTGTTTCTAGTACAGTAAGTGGTCTAGCAAAATTGTCCATGTTTCTTTGTTTATTGATAAATGCATTGTATAGAAACTATTGCCCCTAAATATTTATGGACCAAACAATTGTGATTTATCCTATTAAATTTGTGTGAATAAACCATTTTGAATCTAAGGAGTTTTATTTCCCAGCAGTTTTATTTAAGGTCTAACTGGACTAGTGTTTTTCCATATCGGTACTCAAAAGCTATTAAAATAATATGATAATTTTTAAAAAATATTCAAACATACAAATAGTTTTGAGGTTTCCAAACTTCTGATTCCTTTTAAATGTACACACCATTGCATATGCCATGTAGTTCAACTTGGAATTGCCTTGAAATATATTTTCTTAGAATAAAAGTAATGCCCCATGGATTTGACTCAGCCCAATTTTTAGAATTAAAAAAAGAGAGAGAACGATAACTAACAGATAAAGTAATTGCATGTCAAGAAACCTTAAATATGATTAAGATTTAATGTTAGGTCTCTTGAGCACCAGTGAATATTTGTAAATCTAAATAGAAGTTACAGACCCCTAAAAGCCGAGTTGCTCTGTAGTTAATACATTGTCACTATGATTTTTTTCAGGGAGAACAAATCTTGGGGCATTACAGCCAAACATCCCGGCGTTTGAAAATTCCCTAAAGTATTAAAAGAAGGGGAAAGTTTGATCGGAAATCCACAGCAGTGAAGACAAAGACAATATTAGGTTATCAGAATCACACATGCTAAAATCTATTGAGCCAAAACAAAAAAACAAAAACAAAAACAAAAAAGCAAGTGAGAGGAAAGACTTAAATGTCATTTACTGAATGTTAACAGCAGTTCTTTATGGTTTCTAACACAAATGGAGGCTTAAGCTGATGTGGTTTAAAACAAGATGAGGTGAACTGTGTGTAAACAGAGCAACCTGGCAGTAACACGCACACCCCGTAGCTGAAGCAAATTATTATCGGAAAAAAAATCCGCACATTTGTCAAGCATACTGGTTGTATATTCCCCAACCTGCATTTCGCCTGCTTGCCAATGTGTATTAGTCCTACCCGCTCATGGCGTTCTCCAGTTGTAAATTCAGAGAAAAGCCACCACTCACCTGAGAGGGCAGGGATTGGAGCCCAGTCATTTTAGTTTTATTGTTGATTCCTTCCCTTTTTCAACAGAAATCTCTGCATGCACTCTCCACCTGTTGCTCCCAGTGTGCGTCTCTGTATGACGGATTCTCTTTGCTGTTTCTTGTATGATAAATAGCTTTCATGAATAAACATTTTACTTGATGCAAACATAGTTAACTTTATGTTAAATACACACGGTGGAAATGAATTTTGAACACTGTCTGAAGAGGCAGCACAATGCATTTCTAATCTGTACTTAGGAGAAAGTCAAACGATAATATGAGGTTCAACTCTGGTCGTCCAGGATAAAAGGACTTACTTCGGTTTTAACTTTTCATGACTTCTTATTGTATCAATTGACATGTATTTAAAAAAGAACAAAAAAACCCCTAAATTGCAACAAAAATAAACCTTAGAATAAACTATCACGTAAAAGTTCAGCAATGTTTTAGATCGTTAGGGTAAAATTTACAGGCCCTCTGTAAGTTTGTGTGTTCACTATGCAATGAGCAAATTTATTGACATAGACAGATATGTTCTGAACTACGCGAAGGTCCTGTCTTTGCACAGTTCAAACTACATATGATATTACAAACAAAGGAACAAGTTGAAAGAGAAACACATATTTAGGAAGGAGGTTTTTTTTTAAATTGTAAAGGGAATATTTAAAGAATTTTTTAACGATTCCTATTTAGCTGTATATCCAAAGCATATGTTAAACACGTTAACATATAACTTTCCAGAAATTTTTTCATTATGATGAAATTTTTATTATATACAAATGAACCCTATGTAAATGATGTAACTTTTATGAATGACAGACATTAAATATTTCACTGACATGTATTCTCAGAATTTGGAATGTTTTCTTAAATGCTTTCACTTCCTGAATACTAAAAAAAAAAAAAAAAGCAATGCACCATGACAAGTAGACTGGTCTGAGCGACCACAAAGCATGTGGTTTTGCAGTAACCTGAATGTTTATGCCTCTTTGAAACCTCCTCTGTGGCTGTCGCAACTTACCTAGATTTTCCAGTACATTTCCAGCCAGTTTGTTGGACCCACTGTACTCCAGGGGTCCTCATCTTTTGCATCACCTACTGCAGTTTTGTTGAGAAATATTTTGGAACCTCACCCAGTTTTTCAGATGTTTAAGTAGTTGCCTGGTGTGTGAAATGTGGGAAGAGACCAAAGAAAGAACATCATGGAAAGCAGACATCTGAAAAAAAAATACTGCGAATTCGAAGCAGGCACGTTTTTTTAAAGTGAAAGGAAGGAACCCTAATTAGGTAAGTGGGAAGAGAACAGAGCAGGTGACAGAGTCCGAGGTCTGTCCCCAGGGAGTCCAGCTGCCTGTGAGTCAGGCAATGACACATTTACTCTTTAGATCAGAAATGAAGGATGCAGATTTCTTGGTGGGACTCAGGACGCTCAGTTTTCATAGCTTCTGCCTCCCAGGTGCCTGGGTTGGTCTAACTTCTGGCAAGTTGATCGTGGGCAGAAAAAGCTTTACTGTGAGTATCTGTCTGTTTGGTTTTGTAGCCATGTTAATGCTGACTTATGGGGCGGGCAGGTTTTATTATGCCTCAAATAAGGATAAAATTCCCTGATAAAGCCTCAAAAGCAAACCCTTCTAAGACCATGGTGATTTTTCACCACCTGAAAAAAAAAAAGATAGCTTTGTTGAATACAACCCCAGTAGAATCCACGGCACATTCTTTTACAGTAGCCTTTCTTGGGAGTTGAAGTGCTTTGGGAATCGCGTAGAAATATGATTCTCCCTTTCCTCGGCGGTCACACAGAAAGTGATCTAGAGGGGGACCCTCTGGAATGGAAATGTGGAATCACAGTCTTGGGTCTTTGAGGCTCTGAAGGAAACGCCTGTGGACAATCCCCTTGTTATAAAGGATAACTAGAGACACCTCATTTTGCATGGAGTTTGGCTCCCGAATTGCCAGCTGTGTCAGAGACAGAGCTGGCTTTACAGCAGAGAGCTGGTGAGCTTGAGGCCATTCAGTGCCTCTCACGTGTTGTGCTCGGCAGACCCCGGGGTTAAACGGGCGCTGGGGCTCAGTCCCGACTGAAGAAATGGCTCTATATTTTCTCTGAGACCACGCATTTGTACAAACTCGGGCTTGGCCTTTTGGATGTGTTTTATATTTTTAGTAATTGGGAGCCAACTCTGGACATTCAAATAAATAAAAACCCTCTAATGTAAAACCATAGCTCTTTGCTTTAGAACCAGCATTAAAAATAGGAAGTTAAAAAAAACTGTTGTTGTCACTGACTGCAAAACATTTTTTATCATACCTATTCTGCCCTTACAATTTTGTTTTTCAGCATAATATTACCATTGACCTTATTTTGAAAACAAATTAGAATTCTAAGTCACTACATTCTTTTGATTGCCCTCTGGGGACATTTCTATTGCGTTTTACCTGTTTGCGTAGCAAAAACCAAACTTCAGAACTGTGCATGGCACCCAAGGAAATGTCTGCGGCTGATGTGGGGAGCAAGATAACCACAATTAAACTTCTCCCTGGCTGTGTTAAAAATAGACATTTTCATCTAACATCACTGCTTCCAACACTTCTTTGTGAATATTAATATAGCCAAGTCATACTTATCATGCATCCCAAAGACATGTTTTTCTTCCCTGGGAATATTAAGTTTTGCTTCTTTGCACTACACAGTATCTTGTGCTGAAATAACAGAAAATCGGGCAAGAATAAAGGTCCAGGCAAGAGTCATATGTAGAAAGTTCTGGGTGTACATTTTTGCATATTTTTCCTCACCTATTAGGATTGCCAGGAAGATTTTTTTTCTTTTAGAACTTCATGTTTACATCTTGCATGATCTAATAAATGAATCTGAGGAGTAACTGGATACTTTCCATGGTTATTTGAAAATAAAATTTGCTACAAACAAGACGTTCCAGTCTCGATTACTTCATATTATGTATGACTGTATTAATTTTTCTGCACTTTCCCATTGAACCAGAAAATATTAACCTCAAGGGATGTTTAAATGGTTATTTATGACAAATATACAAAGATGAAGAAAGTCTAAGGTCAGGCTGGTTCGACTTAATTGTTTGGCTTTCTTTCCTTTTCCGAAGCAGCGAAAATCACAAAGGACCATCTGCTTTAACCTTGACATTCAGGGGTTTTGACAGCTTGCATCACTTAAAGTTCTATTTACTATTCAGTAAACTTTAATTCTGGAGAATACATGCCCTTTATGAAACGTGAGTTTTGGAAAGCACATAGGTATTGCATGAGTTCGAGCTGCCTTGAATTCTACAGACAGAGTTGCTTTTTCAGGAGAAAAATACGGTGGAAAATTATGCTACGTATACTATTTGTAGCATTTTACTGGATAGAGCTCGATGCTCTACAGGAATTTTTACGAGCTATAAAAACCTCCAAAATGGTATGATGTAAAGAATTAAGTGGTGGCGTTTTTCTGGGGTTAAAACTGAGACAGCTTGTTTTATAAATACAGTTACTCAGTGGCTTGATTATCGTAGTGCAGATTGGTCTCCTGAATATTTTAATAACAAAGAGACCTTTGCATTCTGTATCTTTCTTTATCAGTTTCCTTCTTAAGCATCAGGAGTCCGTGTGTGTGTGTGTGTGTGTGTGTGTGTGTGTGTGTGTGTGTGTACTTTCTCCCTAGGAAATACCCATGAAAAACTATATGTATTAGCAAAGAAGGCTCATCACTGTTAAACCGATGTTTAATTAAAAGGCAAAACAATGGCCGTGTCCCCCCAGTGGGAGCCACGGTAACAGGCCTGCCTTTCGGGGCCTGGCCTGGGGCTCCCCTCCCAGGAGTGTCCCTGTGAGACCCGAGTTTTCCCAGGGTCTGTCGTCACTCAGCCGAGAGACCGATTTTTACTGCAATTTTGCTGCTGGTGGGGGGCGGGAGGGGGCTTCTCCTTCAATGAAATTTGGCTCATGCTTATTTTTCAACAGAGCACCACCCCCAAGACCGAAAGGGCACATTTTGTTGGAATGAACAATTTCATTTCCTTCTATTGAAGGAGGCGCATGAGAAAAAATGCTTCTCTCACAGTTGGGAGAGGTGGTGTCGGTTTGCACCGCTGGCCTGTGAGGGCGGCAGGACACCGCCAACTTCACTAGTGAACACACGGTATAAACATACCCCTCTCCCCCCGCATATGCACCGTGGGATGCGGGATACGCACATTAGATAACCGCGCCCGACCCCGAGGTTCGCCACGAGAAACATTTCCCCACGTCTGTGACTTCAGTGGCCTGAACACCTAAGGATTGGGGGCTCGATTGTGTGACACTGGCCATCAGCGCTGGTTTTCCTGTGTTCCTAGAGCACCTGGAGCTGGAACCTGTCACCAACAGCCATCAGCACCCTGGACATCATTTCTGTTTTCGATTTCCCTTAGCTGTGGCTAAACTCAAGGCTTCGTGCTATGTGCGGGAAAGAGCGGTGCTGGCCTGTCTGGTTGTAATGGTTCAAACCCTGCCCCCCACTTCCCCTTTTATTTTTTGCAATGGGAACACAAATCGCCCAGGCAAATGGGAACCGTTTCTAGTTCAAGGAAAACCGTGGGCCTTCCTGGGGAAAAGGTGGATATCAGGAGTTCCAGTTTAGTCTCTCCAGATTTACTTATTTTTTTGAAACAATGGCATTGCAGCCATATGGCCACTGCTAATATCTCTTCTTCATTTCCGCTGAGTGGGGACGGCAACTGGCATCACTTAGAAAGGTGGCAGTTATTCCGAGACGCCACTGGTTATCGCTCCGTGGAATTTTCCATGGGCGTCCCCAGCTGCCGCTCTTCCCGGTCCGCCAGAGCGCCCCTCCTTCTCAGTGCGATGCCCGTCCCTCGGTGGCACCGCGTTCTGAAGGTGCCGCGTTTCCTTACCTGGATGGAGGCATGTTCCCTGCCTCTGTTCCCAGGCGCTCTGGCTCTTCTGCCGCGTCTCACCCTGCGATTGTTCGCTTGTCTTGAACACACCGTCCCCCAGCGGTTTGAGGCTGGAACTGCATCTCCTGCCGCCCGCGACCTCCCGGCCAGGCATGGGCCTTGACCCCGGTCTGCTTGGGTCCTGACGTTCTGTCTTACTCTTTCTCCGAGGTTCAGCTTCTCCGCCGCGGCTCCACCTGCCTGTTCTGGGAGGTGAGGTGCAGCGGAGGTGGAATCGGACTTGTTTTTCCCTTTAGCGAGCTCACCATCTGGATTTTTTTCATGGAGGAAAGTTTCACCCTAACTGCCGGAGGTGTCCTCTGCCGGCAGGGAGGAGGCAGAGGTATTTCAGATTCTGGCTCGCTTTCCTCATCCCCAGGCCCTGACCCCCCACAGGAGTACACCCAATGGCCAGAAAATTTAAAAAGATTACATTTCATTATATGAAGTCATGTTCTTACTAATGTAGCATC